TGAAACTATTTTAAAAACAAATTGAAATAAATAATGGTTTTGGATGTTTGCAAAGTTTTAAATTTTACCAAAATTTTATGGATGTTACATGTCAAAGCTAGTGGAAGCATAATTGTTATGCTAAATGTTGCAAGTTGGCAATGTTATTTGTAGGAAGCAAAGATTTCAATATTGCAAGTTGCAATGTTTGGGAATTGTTTCTGTATGAATGATTTAAGGGAGAGGGGCACTTGTACTTCTTTTATATCTAGAAGTTTAGATTGAAAGTTTTAATAGAACTTAGTCTTGGACATATATGAATATCTTGTTGAAATGGTTCAATATAGGAAATTTGATATATATGGAAATATTATAGCAAGAGACTGATCAGATATCAGGTCTTTATGAATCGAGTCTCATATGCTTCGGATATAAGATTGATTATGTATGCTATAATATTCACTTGTTCTGATTTTTTTCAAATGCATTGGGTATTGAGAGGGAAAAAGACTAAAACTTGGTGTGACTAAAGTTGTTAAACAACTTTCAAGAATAATCAAAGGTTTACTGAAGACTGATTGCTTGTGGACAGTTGGAAGTATAAGTATTAGTTTGGATGGGCCATAGTGACATACTTTAGATTGAGATGATTCTTGATCAGAATTGATGGTCATATAGGAATATGGAAATGTTTCCATAATAGGAATTGATGATTAGAATCTACATGTGACTTAGAAACTTTAATGCAGGGAAGATGTTCAAGGAGTGTATCTTGAATTTGAAACTTCGTTGCCATGGAATTGTTTTCAAGTAACAAAGTTACAGTATAACATTTTGTAATATTGTTGGCAAAGTCTTCGTGACTTTGAGGCCTTGACATCACAAAATGACATTGCATAGAAAGTTGGAATTCTTTCATATTTTAGTAGTGACAAGAATTTGGATTTGTGAAATGAGCATCATTAGTATAGTGTCCAATCGATCTATTCATAAAGGAAGGACCATAGAGAGATATAGTATGCATGTTTCTAGCATGGAATGACTGATGTTTAATTCAATAGTTTAGTTGATTACTCGAAAAGTTATACAATGAATAAAGTCTAATTAATATGGTGATTATGATGGGTTTTGGTCATAAGAACATCCTATGTGCTCATGGAAACCCTAATGCTTGGATCTAGGTTTCTCTATTGTACATGCATTCATCCAAGACTTTAAACCCTAGATGTAGCATGTGATAATCGATATTAACAAAAGAATAGGGTTTAGATCTTACCTTGATTGTTATATAGCAATAACAATCTCAAATCCTCCTTGTAATGGCTTTGGAAAGTGTAGAGTCACAAGTGTCACTCCTCTAATGGCTCACAAACACCAAGAGAAAGAGGATGAAGAAGGAGATAATTAGAAGCACCCAAAAACATCTAGAAACCCTAAGGAATCAATTAGCCATGTTTTTAGTGCCCTAGGGGTCCTTAAATATGTGAGACTATTAGGGTTATCTAACAAGGAAACCCTAATTTGACTTCTTAGGCCCTAAGCAACCCATGTACTCCCTCCTTAGAGGTTGTGGATTATTTCTAATGAGTTTCCCCATAGAATTCATCCACTCCATCCTCTATGGAGTCCATTATCCCAATATTCAACTATTACACAATTGACAGTTCTAGTCCCCTTTATTTAATTAATGTCATTTAGCCACAAAATTAATTCTTAATTAATTATTGACTAATATTAATTAAACAATATGATTTCTCCTTTAGTATATTATTCTCATAATATATTAATAAATCATAATTAATCCCCTCTCTCCATAATTCATCCAATCAAATTGCTTTGGTGAAGGCACCCCAAAAGGAGCATACACCATCGAGTCAACTGTCAAGTACATACCAAAATTCTTATGGACTTAGACACTAATCCAACAGTCTCCCACTTGGATAAGTCTACTAACTATTATGCGTATTACTTTAGATCCTGATCCGCAATCATAGCTTTCAAAAACCGCTGTCAACTATGATCTTTTCAGAAGCGTGTCCTTTAGATAAGGGATCATATCTTCCTCCATTCTAGATATCGTATAGACTGATACATGGATTTAAATCATTCTCTCAGTCTATGTGTTGTTTCTTGATTTCAGATTTATGACGACTGACAAAAGACTACAATTAAACACATCAACTTAGTCCTGGCTTGGCCAAGCGCTTAGGTGTCATCACTAAATCATCGAGGGGCCCACATATATCGCTTTTTATCCCACTTTGGGTAAAAGGAACGGATAAACTTCGACTCAATGCTCGCTTGTACTCACTTACCGAATCACACACAACAATGCGTTTTATAACACCAAGTTACTGGTGCGTTTACATATTATCCATGAAGCGATCCAAGTGAGCGTGGGTTTAATCCAATGCTCAAATCATATTCATAAGCACTCATGAACGTTGCAGCTAACATTTGCTATGTCTAATACACTTTAGGCAATCTACAAACCAATTCATGACAATCTTCTGTCATACCAACTCCCAAAGTATGAGCGGTTGTGGAACGTTCTAATAATCTTATTATTCAGGAAGTCAAAACATGCAAAGTGAAACACAAGAATAATACTAATCCTATATGGCCCTAAACTTTGGAGTATAAATAAAGCACCTTTTATTTAATCACCATATTGATTACTCATTATTTGTTATTTTGGGTAATCAACTTCGTACTTGAATTATAACAACAATTATCCCATGCTCTTAGCATGCACATACACAAACACATGTATAATATGCACCTTGTTATCCAAATACTTATACATACTTATATAACTAATACAATTTAAGAATGTGTATACTTGGTTAAAATGAACACTACAAACTTAACCATAATAATTTGTACAAGTTAAATCCAAAATCCTTCCAAGACTATTAAAGTACAACCAACCAAGGTTTTTCCCAAAATCTATTCCTAATAAAAGACTCTTAAATCAACCACATGTCATCTTGTAAGCAGAATCTCATGCCATGTGTCATCTTCTCCTAAGCCCTTGACTTTCTTTCCCGCTTATTTTTTCATCCAAAAATATTGTTGAAATCAATTTTTAAATTGTAAACTATTCTATTATTCCAATAAATTAACGAAATATCACTATATCAGGCAATATATCAGCAAACGTAATCTTTTAAAAAAATTAAACCGGTGACCCAATTATCCGCTTCTTATATTCCTCTATAATTTTGTGATTTGAACATTCGTCTGTATTCAGTTTCTTGCATCCTACGTGCATTTAATTTGTGGCATCAATTTCAATTTTCATTCTTCTACGAGTTTTGAAGATTCATGCCATCATGTCATTTAATTTCTACCATCTTCCACACCTGTGATTGTTGCACCGATCTGGGTTTATCGCTCTGCATTTAAATTAGTGTTTATTTCAAGTAAATTCGTATTGCACTCATATTTCTAAGTGCTTAGTCAAAATTATATGTTCTCCTGCCTTGCTTCAATTATTGAGAAGTCAAAATCATGTTTCATTTTGTAGTTGCATGCAATATCTTGAACATTCTTTAACATTTTCTTCATTCCTTTTGTTATTGGGTTTTGATGCATCGAAATATTGGGAAGTCAAAATCATGTTATACGAAACCATTTATTTGGACAACATAATGCACGCTAACTGTTTGACGTAACGTTTTGTTCTTTCGACAAAGAAAGTAGTAAAATTTGTTTTGTTTTTTTTTCATAATTGCTTTTGTTTTTATATAAATTTGTAATTTGGGCACTAAATTTGCACATTCGTTGAAAATAGCTTGATTTTTTTCTAATCAATGGGTTGATGTGTCACTTTGAATTGAGTTGTTTATGCTATTGCCAATGCTCACACTTTGACAAATAGTTGCGTTGCTTTCCAGCATTTGCATGAACAACCAGTTGATATTTGAAGCTCGTGGAGAATGGTTCCAAAATAGCCAAAAAAAAAAAAAAAATGATTACTCTTTGTGGTCATAAACAAAGGGCATGTTCTAACCAAGAAGTAATTAGCATCATGAATTATCATCTTTAAAGTTTAATCATGAGCCTTTTATTATGAATTTGAATCATCATGCATATTAGTGATATTGTTTTCAGTTTTCTGATTAGTATTATTTTTTTCAAATAACATCTTATATGATGAAAATAAACAATTTTTAATAAGCTTGCATTCAAACTTTAATTAGCTTGATTTGGGATGAAAATGAAGATCAAATAGAATCAAAAAGTTAATTATCAATTTTTGTCGTAGTGTTGTGTATGTTTTACACATGTGTGTTTGAATGTGTTTTATTAATGAAATCCTTATATTGTTTAATGAAATTTCCTTGTGACCACCGACCACAATGGTTTCTTATTTGTCGATTAGCAAACTCGAAGACTCTTCTTAATGGTTAGCTAAAATACCACTATATTATCTACTAATCCCTCATTTTAGTTAAATCCTATTTATTACATTTAGCCGAATAAAGTAGAAAATGCAAAATATAGCAACATACGTTTGTTCGTTTATCAAATTAGCATCTTATTTTACAATATTTTTATAAATCTTTTAACCGTGGTTTCCAGAGGTTGTAACCTAATCTGATAATAAATCATATTATCAACAAAATACATATGAAAATTTAATAATTACAGATTATACACAAAAATGCATACCCAATTAAAACATACATCAATACATAATGAAACAAATAACTAATACAAATTACAAAAATAAAACTTATACCTTTACATTTAAAATGACAATACAAATTACAAAAATAAAACTTGTAACCTCTACATTTAAAATGACAGCACACTTATGATTTCTTCTAAGACTTGTTTTGCACAAGTAAACACTAAAAGATTGACTCTTACACTCCAACCTTTTCCTTCCCACGTTTCATTGCTTCTCCCTCACTACATCTCACAGGTACGGAGGTATGGTGGTATTGTTCTCCACATCAACTGATAAATTGGTTCACAAACAATCATCACGCAATCAAAACTGAAAACAACACTCAAACACTCTCATAGCTCTTTCCTTTTGCACTGATTCCTATCAAGAACACAGGAACTGTTCTTGTTCTCGGGTATACCTGCAAACAAAAAAGAAAAAGAAAAAAGAGCAACAAAACATTTTCGTTTCCTTTCCTTCACTGTCGAACATACAAACCAAACATACCAGTTCATCCATCGACCAGTCAAAAAAAAAAAAAACCAAGATGAAGAACAGGGGAGGCTTTCCGAGCAGACCCCCATCCACTACCTGCAATAGCCAGAGGAAGGTTGTTCCTCGCCCTTTTTGCTCGTCGATCACCACCGAGACCGAATCCCTATCCGCTTTTCCTTCTCTTCGGTCCCATCGGGACCCTTTCTTGCCACTGATCGAACCTCGTCACTCCCACATCTCCATCTTCCGTCGAGCACAACCCCGAAACATCCCTTGATCGGCGCGTGTTAACCCCCTTCGCGACCGGCCCAAGGACCGAGACCTCTTTTACCCTCGCTTCTCACTCCCTTTCGCCAACCCCACTGCAGCGTCACTACTTCTGCCCATGTTCTTCTTCGCTCTAGTCGACCACCAGAGCTCGCCAGTCGGGTGCGATGGGTCTGAAATCTCCGGACGAAAAAGAGAAAGCCTTGCCTTCGTCTCTTCCCCATCAGTTAAGTCTTCCGGATTAACCGATGCGAGCCTTCTCTCTCCTCTCTTCCCCAGTCGAGCCAAGCGCCGCGACGTACCTCCGATTCACCACAATCGCATTATTCGCCATTCATCTGTGTTCTCTATGTCGGCTGCTTTCAATGGAAGGTGTCCATTTCTATTGGTCGATGAATGATACACGGGCATAAAAAACCCTAGATTAATTAAGTTTGGCAAGTTAACATAAGCAGTCCCTCTATGGGATTTTTTCTTACACAAAAGCCCTAAATCAATTTGGCAAGTTAAATATCTTCCTAGTTTTTGTTCCTAATTTTCCACTTACCTATTTAAGATGATGATAAGTGTACAAATTTAACGTATAATTCAAATTTAAATTTAAAATTAATTAAATGACACTTATCACTATCTAAAATATGTAGCAAGATATTAGGCACAAAAAATAAGAGAATATTTAATTTCTCTTTCCAAAGTGAACATATTAAGCCCTCTGTTGAACCCTTTTATTTGAAACCAGTCCCAATCCACAAATATTGGACCCATTTATTCAAAAAGGCCCCTCCTTTGATTACTTTTAACAAAAAAGATCCAATTCTTCAAACTTGAAGTAAAAATAACCATTTCAACCCTTCTCTTGAAATATTTTAACCAAATCAGTCCCCAACATGTCAAATTTGTTACAAAATGGTCCCGAAAGTATTTCAAAGTTCAAGATTGGTGGATTTACAATTTCTTACGTCAGTCTTCACAAACAAACCGATTTTGAACAAATAGAACTCATGCTTCAAAGGTGAGTGCTTACGACCCCTTTTTAATATTATAATTATTCCTGGGGGTGGTAATACATGCGCCAGGGTTGAGAGTTAATCACAAACTTTTTAGTAACATCCCCAACTACGATTGCTAGCTACAACTCTCGACCGATCAATCGAAGAGGGAAATGTCTACAATTTTTACTACAACATCCAATGAAGCGTTGTAGGGGGTACACTCATTCATAAAGCCCGGTTATAGGACTCACTAAAAACATTAACTAGAATATATCTCACTCTCTATGATTTGGAACCTTACCATGAGAGGATTTGAGGTGATTACTTACACATCCCGATTTAATGACCTCACCAAAACTTTTCTGATGATTGGTGAACCTGGAATACAAAGAGACCAAAAGGTACATCTAGGGATTTGCTTCGCCAGTTCAAGGTTTAGTTACTCTATCTAGACCCACTACCTTTGATAATACCAAGCAATTGGCATACCAATTGACTGAGAATTGTATCCATCAGGGTTCCATAACCCTACAAACTGAAAGGAACCAAGTTAGGAGTACAGAAAGGAAGTTCCATGGGAAGTCAAAAGGGAACTTCAAGCGTCACAAACCTAAAACCTATGGTTGTGCACACTGTAATCATAAACACACCAACTCAATCAAAGACCCACTTTAGGACTTTACCTCACTATACCAAGTGCAATTTCCACCATATTAGAAATTATGTGGTCTACAACATTTTTAACTTGAGAGGTCACATCTCTAAGTTTTGCAGAAAGGCCCCGAATAACCATGTCTTTCACGTCCACCTACTACCTATGACCATTGGAAGTTTCGATGTGATCATTGGAATGGATTTGTTATCACTTCATCAAATGGAGATTTTGTGTTAAAAAAAGTTGTCTGACTACCTTTACCCAACAACGAAACTCTTATCATTTACGAAGATAAATTACAGAAAGAACCTAAGATTCATCACTTGCATGAAGGCAATGAAGCACTTCAGAAGAGACGCTTCGCTTTCTTGACCCATGCGGTGGATATGCAAGACAACAGTAAGGAAATCAAGCACATACTGCAAGTGTGAGATTATCCGAACGTATTTCCTGGAGGACCTCTAGTCAAACAAGTCGAATTTCGAATCAACCTAATCCTAAGTGCAAAACCAGCAACAAGATCTCCTTATCGTCTAGCTCCATCGGAAATGAAAGAACTATACAGTCAACTCCAAAAAACTTCTTGAAAAAAGCTTTATCCAGCCAAGTTTCTCCATAAGGAGCTCCAGTATTGTTTGTCAAAAAATAAGGATGGATCATTCAGGATATGCATCAACTATCGAGAGTTGAGCAAACTCGCCATCAAGAGACGATATCCACTCCCGAAGATCGATGACTTGTTTGACCAACTACAAGGATCCCGTTACTACTCAAATATTGATCTGAGATTCTGCTATCATCAAATTAGAGTCCAAAAAGAAAACAATCTAAAGACGACATTCAAGACTGAGTATAGTCACTACTATTTTCTGGTCATCCATTCATACTGACCAATGACACCAAATGAAGTACGCTAATTCCTAGGGCTTGCAAACTATTAGCAGAGATTCATGTAGAACTTCTCCAAGATAGCCTAGCCTCTCACCACTCTAACCCAGAAAGAAAAGAAGTTCGATTGGGGAAACAGACAAGATTCTGCCTTTCCAAAATTGAATTATTGGTTGTGCAGTGCACCAATTTTGTCTCTTCCAGAAGGAACAAAATACTTTTTAGTACTTTACAACACCTCATACCAAGATTTAGGATGTGTGTTGATGCAAAGAAATAAACGTCATTGCATATTTATCCAGATGATCCAAGCCAAAAAAAAAAGACTAACTATACTACCCATGACATGGAGTTAGGAGCTATAGTCTTTGCCTTAATGATCTGAGACACTACCTCTACGTAACAAAGTGTGAAGTATTCACCAACCATACAATCCTCCAACACATCTTCCACCAGGAGGAATTGAATATGAGGCAACGAAAGTGTGTAGAATTGCAAAATGATTACCAATGTGAAATTCATTATCATTCTAGTAAAGCAAATACCACGTCAGATGCTTTAACCAGGAAAGAACAAGCAATGCCACTTTGTGTAAAGGCTCTAACCCTAACCATCTAGTCCAATCTCACCATCCAAATTAGAGATGCTCAGCTGGAAGCACTCAAACCCGAGAATATCATAAGAAAAAAATCTGCGAGGTTTGGACAAACGGTACGACCTCAAGGAAGATGGAACATGATATTTTCATGAACCGAATTTGGACCCTAAAGTTTGGTGAAGTCAGGAGTCTAGTTCTAAACGAAGCTCATAAATCATGACATTCAATGCATCTCGGATTAGATTAGATGTATCTCGATCTCAATAAGCGTTATTGATAACCTAACATGAAGCTAAAGATTGCCACCTATAACAGTAAGTGTTTGACTTGATCCAAAGTCAAAGCAGAGTACCATGAGCCTTCTGGTCTACTACAACAACCGTCAATCCCGTAATGGGGATTTGAATAGATAACCATGGACTTCATAACGAAGTTGCCAAGAACTTCAAACATTTATGACACCCTATGGGTAATTGTTGAGTGTTTAATTAAGTCTGCCTACTTCTTAGCCATCAAAGAAACTGATGGGATGGAAAAAACCCCACCAAGACCTATCTCAAGGAGATAGTCAGACTGCATTATGTGCCAATAACTATTATTTCAGACCGAGATAATAGATTCAATCCCATATTTTGGCACTCAATATAAAGGCTCCTATGAACCAAACTCGATATGAGTACAACATACCATCCTTAAATGGATGGAAAAGGTCAAGGAAACACATAAACTTTGGAAGACAAGCTTCGTGCTTGGGAGATAGACTTCGGTAAAGCAAGGGATACTCACTCACCATTATTTGAGTTTTCATATAACCATAGTTACAACCTTAGCATAGAGGCCACTCCATTCGACGCCTTACACGAACATAGGTGTCGTTTTGTGATATGTTGAGCAGAGGTTGGAGATACCCAATTAGCTGAAAAGCATGCTACAGACACTCTCCTCACTAGACCTGAGATCATTCATGAAACAATAGAGAATATCCTTCAGATAAAGGAACGATTAAAGGATCGCACATAGTCATTAGAAAAACTATGCTGACACAAGACGCAGACCCTTAGAATTCAACGTAAGAGATTGTCTCTTACTAAAGGTCGCATTATAGAAAATGTCATTAGATTTGGGAAAACAGAATAAACTAAACCCCCATTACATCAGACTTTTTGAAATCCGGAAAAGGGTTGATCTGGTGGCTTACAAACACAATTTACTTTAATAACTACGTAAAGTTCACGATAGCTTCCACGTGTTTAATCTTAATGAGTGCCTCTATAATGAGAACCTTGTCTTTCCTCTCAATGAGATACATGTCGACACTAAACACCATTTCGTGACGGAACCAATGAAAATCATGGATCAGGAAATTAAAATCCTCAAACAAATCTGCATATCTATAGTAAATCTCCAATTGAACTGTCGTTAAGAGCCGGAGCTTACTTGGAAACGTAAGGACCAGATGAAACCAAAGTATTCATAATTTTCCAACGTTGCTTCCTCCACTACTGGAATGAAATACTAGTATAAAAAATAACAAATAGAACAAAATATTTTAGAACAAAATAATTTCAGGATGAAATTCCCTTAACAGGGAGGTAATGTGTCATCCCAGAAATTAGGTCAAAGACTGTGAATGGTCAAGTTCACAGTAAGTCCCTTGGTAAATTGACTCTTTGAGTTTTAGTGCACCTAATCTACTATAATAAATGAAGGTTTTTTTGCCACATGTCCTCTTCTCCTTCATTTGGACACTTGGCATTTTCTAAAATTTTTAAATTTTCTATTTTCCACTTGTCATTTTATTGTAATTTTCATTTTATTAAATTAAAATTGCACATTTAATGTGTAATGTAATATATATGTAAGTATTTATTATAAAGAGTTTATATATGTAATGTATTCAATACATTAAAGTTTCAATAATTTTAATAATTCAATTTTTTTTTTCATTTTTCTTATAAATTCAAACTTTTCAAATTGTTAAAATTTCATATTTTTTTTAATTAAACTCATGTAATACATGGGTTTCACACCTAGTGTTAAAATAAATGAGTTATTTCAACTATTATAAGATACCAAATGCTATCTTACTTCCAAATATGTAATTTGGCAAATAAATCAAACAGCTCAAACAACAACCTTAGGATTGCGTTTGAAAAACTAAAATTTCGTATTAAGTCGTTGTGAGAAAAACAAACAATCTAGCCTCGTAGTACATGTGTCCCTGATTCCGAAAATATAAATAACGTACAAAACGGAGTTCGTATGCAAAAGATACAACCGTTTTAAGAATCTAAAGCCAGTAAAATACTGATTTTCAAAAAACCGCCAAAACCTTTTCTATCAGTTGAGGGACTTGCACATCTCAAATTGTAATTCCGAAAGCATTTTTGGACACAGGCTATAGCCTTATATTTAATTTCATATTTGAAATATTTTTAGTAAAAATATTTATAAAAAGTGAAAAATCAAACATTTTCAGGTTTATTAATCACGAAACGTTAAAACTATTTAGTTTGACATGAGTTTATTATTGGTTATGTATTTCGGAATAATACATAAATCCAAATTCGGTCAATATGGATTTCAACGATGGAAATAGTTCAACACTCATAAATTCGTGAATGACTATATACACGTATGGGACATATGTCATAATCAATTACATTCGGTTGATTAAATTATCTTAAATGTACAACATATATGTATCAAT